AAATTGTATCGCTTTTCGCAGAGCATAATGATCTTCAATATGCTGCCCCAGGAGGTCTTATTGGTAAGGCTTTTCCTCTCATCCCTACGGGGTTTTTGTTTGCCACTTTATTTATTTATTTTTTTGAAGGGTAATTACTTTACAGAATTTTGCTGTTTTCTGTCAAACGTCAACAAGAATCAGCATTTGATGTTTAATGATCGAGCAGGGTAGGGGAATGTTTATGTGGTTAAGCTGTTGATTTTAGGTCATATGATGATTTCATATGCTTGTGAAAATTATTTTTAAACATAAGAATTTTGGTTTAATTTTTAAAGTAGCTCCTTTTTAGCAGTACCAAAGTAAATTTTATGGCCTAAAATGTAAAAATACCTAACCATAGTTTTTTTTAAACATGGTTTTAGGGTAGTGTGGTTTTTTTGTTGTTTTCGTATGATTTTCACATGGAGAGTTACCCACAAATGTCAATTAAATCATGATAGATCATAGTTAAACACTGAGGTGGGAATTAAAGATTATAACTTCCATTATCTTGCTGTTACTGAAATAATATATGGGTTTCCTGGTCTCATACAGTAGTGTATTACCAGATACCCAGAAAAAGGCAAGATACAGTGAGAATTAGTCAGAGGTGTTAATAACTTTTGGATTAAAGAAAATGGCGTGAAGGAGTTCATCTTTTTGTTCTCTGATGTTTGGCTCTTTAATTCATTTTTCTATTGTATTTTGTAATTAGGAGTTTGCTGTGTATAATTTTATCCTTTTTGTTTGTTTTGTAAATAAGGAAACTCTTGGGACTTTTAAAGTTTAACTTATGGAACTTTTCAAACATAAAAGTACAGAGAGTAGTGTAATGTGTGGTCATTTACCACCACGCAACTTCAAAGATTATCAATGCTTTGCAGTTGTTTTTTAGGGGGGACATGCTACATGGCTTGCAGAATCTTAGTTCTCCAACCAGGGATCGAACTTAGGTCTACAGCAGTGAGAGTGCCAATTCCTAACCACTGAACCACCAGGGAATTCCCAGTACTTTACCATTCTTGCCTCATCTTTATGTCTTCTCTCCTCCATGAAAGACATGCAGCTAAAATATTTTGAAATCAATCCCAGGAATTACTTAAAATCTTTAAGCTATCTTTTTGATCATTCTTTCAGGGGAGAAATGGCAGGTAAATATCCTGCAAACTACTCATGAATTTTGTATTGTTTCAGCCTTCATTAAGGATATTCAGATTCATTTTTTATTGAGGCTGTTATCTCTGTTTGTCCTTTGCTTACAGTTTAAATCAAGAGAATCATCCTCAAATACCCAACTAACTTGTGAGTTCACAGTTCTCTTCCTTCAGATAACTATTGTCACATCTATGTGGCCAGTAAACGAGTATGAAAATATAAGTCGTGTATTAAAACGTGTAGGTAGGTATGTGCTGTACCAGTTTGAATGAGGTTTTTGGGTAAACGGAAATAAAATGTTGGACCACATATATCTTATTTTGGATCAGGAGTTGGAACAAAAATTGACCCCACTTTGTGCCGGGCTGACAGAATGGTGGGGCAAGTACTTGGTGCAGTTGGAGCTTTACCTGAGATCTTCACAGAATTGGAAATTTCCTATTTCCTGCTTAGACGGCTTCTAGGTGTTCGCACTGAAGGAGACAAGAAAGCAGCGAAAGTA